CTTAACCCTATAAACCTGAAGCCCCAGAACCTTTACAGTAAAGCAGCCGTTTACAGGAACCATTAACAGAACCCTTCAAGACCATAGAAAATCCGATCAAAAAACGCCTAGAAAGAAGCTGGATAAACGGCTTATGCAAACGCCGAACTCGGGAGCAGGTTCTGCAGCGCTTCGACCGCTATGAGCAGCTGCTGCGCGACCTCCGGGAAAACACAGGCGCGGAATGCGCGCGTGGAAGGCTTCTTGTGCTTAGATGGGGTTCTGGGTCTCCGGGTTTCGGGAGGTTTTGGGGTTTTTGGCCTCATGGCTGTTGGTTGAAAGTGCCGCGAGCTCACGCGGGTCTTCCGCGGTCGCTCCAGGAGCCTGTTGCGAAGGCGTGTTAACAGAAGGGTGGCATAATGATTAATGTTAACCCTTACTAAGGGTTCGGGTTCGTGTCTTATGCTTCTTGTCTGAACGGGGGGGGAGGGTGGGAGGTGGAGGGGGGGGGGGACAGTTCTTCCAGGAGGATACTGTGGCGATGTGGATGAAGTAGGCGGAGTGAGGTGCACAACACCGAAAAGCGAGCTTTGTGCCCTTCGACCTTTTGCCCTTTTTCCGGAGGTCTGAGCACTCATTTAAGACTCAGGTCCTAGGTTCTTTAGTTCTGCATCTCCTAGGTGGGTTAAAACGCACATCTTGAGCATCAAAGGCTTTCCAATAGCTACCATGATTTGGACAATGGCCCAACTCTAGGTAGTCAGAGGGCATGCATGGAAATTGTCAATCTGTGGGGCTTGGGCAGCCCGATACCCAGCGTATGGTCAGTCTTTACCGCGGACAACGCCCTACTGTAAACCCCAAGCCGTAAACCCTAAACCCTAAGCCCTAAAACTCTAAAACCCTAAAGCCCTAAAGCCCAACACCCTTTGAGCCCTAAGCCCTAAAACCCTAAACCCTAAAGCCCTAAACCCTGAAGCCCTAAACCCTAAAGCCCTAAGCCCTAAACTCTCTAAACCCTAAGCCCTACACTACAACCTAAAGCCCTAAAGCCCTAAACCCTAAAAGGGGCTCTGGAGCCGATCTTTGTTTATGGACCAGTGACCCTTCAGCCAGGGGTTGGCTTCCGACGGCTTGGTTTTTGTCAAGCTTGTTTTTGGGGCAGAGAGTAGAGTCTAAGCAGGGTTCGGGGTTTAGGGTTTGGGGGGGGTTAGGGTTGGGGATTCAAGTTTAGGAGTTGCGGCCTGTGCCCGAAAATCCAGGCCCTAGTTACAAGATAACCATGCTAAACCGTATTCTACTATATTCGGCCTTAAAAGCCCTAAACCCTATAAGCCCTATACGCTCCTAAACCCTAAGCCCTAAGCCCCATAAGCCCCTAAACCCTAAACCCTTAAACCGCAAGCCCGGAGCCCCACTCCTCCTTCAGGACTTGCCTCCACGGCGGTTTCGCGTCGGAACTCGGTTAGGAAGGTGCCCTGTCCTTCCGCTCGACAACTCTAAGGTGACCCTACACCCTCAGCCCTAAATCCTAAACCCTACACCCTAAGTCCTAATCCCTAAACCCTGAGGCCTCAACCCTGAAGCCTGAACCCTAAGTCCTAAACCCTAAACCCGCAGTCCTTTACTTGAAGCCGGGACCTCTTCAAGCCTCAAGCTTGATGTTCGGGGCTCAGGGCCCTAATCTTTCCAAAGCTTCTAGGTCGGTTCGTAGAACTTCCGGTGGCGAGTCTTGCCGCCGGTTCAGTCTTCATAATGAATTCTGGAACGCGGTGCTGGGGTTTAGGAGTTTGGGCTTTAGGAGTCAGAGCTGCAGAACGGAGTGTTGCTATTTTGGAGAGACAAGGTTTTCAGCAGAGGCTCTTGTTGTAGCTTCAGGTTATCTTCGAACCTGGAACATGAGATGAGGGGGTTTCCGAAAATAGGGGACCCCAATATAGCACCCTAAAACAGTAGGATCCTTTTTGTAAGGACCCCAAAATAAGGTACCCCTTATTTTCGGAAACTCCCATGAGGACCTGAGTGTAGCTTGCCGTGGGGCCCGGCGGAAGCACCCATTGGCTACCAAGCAGTTTGCGGTAACCGAAAGAACAACACCTACATCCGAAATCCCGTCAACCAGATCCCCATGCCACAGCCGAAGCACTCAATCCAGTAATTAACTCTCACCCTCAAGCCCCCAAACCTGGAAACCCAAAAGTCCTTGCAGCCTAAGTTCTTTAGCTCTTCGTACCGCCTTCTTCCGGAGGTCAAGAGCAAGCGTGTGAGCCTCCAGCTTCCGAAACAGGCAGGGAGGGCTTGGTATTAGGGGTTTAAGGTTTAGGGTTGCGAGCTCAGTTCAAGCCGGGGGTTCCACTCGCGGATCAGGGCTGTTAGGGTTGTGTTTGGGTGAGGCCCCACACAGTAACGTTGATACAACAGGAACATAGGAAGACTTTAGCGTAATTAGCACTATCCCTTGTGGACACTAGTAGTTGGTAAGGCCCTAATCTAAAGTTCAGACCCTCTTCAGCATAGGCTTGCATTGCCTGCCAGCAAACACTCCTCAACAGCAGGGCCTTCTCGTTAAAGATAACCCGTGAACCCTAAGCTTCAAACCCTAAACCCCTAGTGCACGTGAGCCGCGAAGCGTGGTGGGCCAGAAGCATTGAGGAGGTTTCGGCCCTTCCCGGCATAGCAACCCCCCTGCCTGCACTCAAACACAGCGGGAGTCCTAAAACTGCAAACTCCAAAACCTGCCGCCCTAAACCCAAGTACATCCAAAAGGCCCTTAACGTCTAAAAACCGAAGAAGGCCCTTAAACCGTGCTGAATGTCGGGTTGCTCCCTGATGCTCCTCAGAGCCTAGTTTAACAAAAATCCGAAAGCCTTCATAGCCCCTAAGCCCCTAAACCCTAAACCCTAAACCTTAAACCCCCAGTCCCTTTTCCACACAAACGTCAAGAACCCCTAAAAACCCTAAACACAATCACGAGGCCCGAACCCTAAACTCTACAAATCTCCGAATCCCCCCCAAACCCTCAACGAAAAGCCCTTCTTCTGACAGCCTAAGCCACACTCGTTTCGGAATGAGATTTGCAACAAAGCGGTAAGACATTCTAGCACAAAAGGTGTGTCAGTTTAGATTTGGGCATAAGGGTTCGACTCTCGGGCTGACTTGGTTTAGTAGAGGATATCTTTTTTCGGTAGGGCTTTGTATGGGCTCTTAGAAGGCTCGGTGGAAGGTTTAGACTTTATCAGGATGTACGCAGACCTTAAGAAACCAACATTTCTAGGGTTCGTTGTTCTGACTTACTTCTGTCGTTACTTTCGTAGGTGTTCGTGTTTCGGTAGGATTTAGGATAACCCAGTATTGTCTCTGCGGGGCCCAAGAACCAAGAACAGCCTTCAGGCCCTCAATCCGGCCTGACCCTTCAGGTGTAGGGCTTAGGAGCAAAGTGCTGAAAAGGTTCGGTCCTATCTCCGAGGCCCGGAATCCTCAACCCTTGTCCCAATGTCCACTACCTATGCAAGATTCGCTTTTCGAGAAGCCGCTTCTAGAGACTTGCAGAAGTTGAGTGACACCCCGACGGAGCCCCCAAGAAAGCCCGAAGCTCCACATCCCTGGCCCATCCTGAGAGCGAACACCAATACCTTACGGCTCAATGTGCCCATGTAGTATATGCTTAAAGCACCTATAAAGGAACCCCTTTAAGGACTAAGTCTAAGTATATACTACATGGGTACATGGAGCCTCAGGGACCTTGCACAGAGCCCCCGAAGCCCCTGGCTCGGCACGAAAGGCTCAAGCCTTGGTCCCGCGGAAGCCAACCTTTACGCCGAAGCTTTTCAGCTCTCTGACGCAGGCGGGTTTGGGGTTGAGGGTTGAGGGTTTGGGGTTGAGGGTTGAGGGTTTAGGGTTTAGAGGAGTGTTGGCTGGCACACAATCCAAGCCCATGCTGACAAGGGCTTACGGTTCAGGTGTTTCAGGCTTCAGTGTTCAGGGCTTAAGGTTTGAGAGAGAGAGAGAGAGATATGGCGTTTTTGGGGTTGAGGTTTCAGGGTTTAGGGCTTTAGGGATTTGGGGATGGGGGGTTCGGGGCCTGAAGGTTTGGGCTTCGGGGTTAGGGCTGTAGGGTTTGGGGTTTGAGATTCGGGGGTAGTAAGGGCAGCTCCGAAGACCTCGGCCCAATCCTAACCGAAACGCCCTAATAATCCAGCTTCAACCTAGCATTCTTAACGTCTTAAAGATTACCATCTGGAATCCTCAAGTCTGCAAACTCTAAACCCTAGCTTCAACCCTGAACCTGATCCTTGAATCTTAAAGGCTGCAGCTTTGCATCCTGTATGACTCCTCAACCTGGAAGCTTATCCTCTGAACCCACGAATCCTCGACTCCTCAGGTGGAACACCGCCAGCCCACACTAAGCCCCAGGGAAGCTTACCGTCTTCAGGAACTCTGTCAGGGAATCATAACAGGAAACCTAGTAATGCAGACCCTAAACCCTAAACCCCTAAACCCTAAACCCCTAAACCTAAACCACGTTTCTTGAGGTTCCCGAAAGGACTGGGTTTCTTCGCGCTCAGGCCTTGAGGTCTCCTGAGGCAAGTGCACTGAGGGTGACGGGTTGTAAAAGGAGCCACGCAAAGATGGGGATAAGAGGGTTCTGGGTGTGCCAAAGAGCCCTGATGGAACCCTGAACCCCCAACAAAACCCGACAAACTCCTGGTCCCCAAGCCCGATACATCTCCAGGCCTGCAGCAGGGAAGAATTAGGAATCGCGGTTCAGGGTTTGGGGCAATATCCTGAGAACCCTGAGTGCAAAGAAGTACGTTTTGGATGTTTGGATGCTAAAGCCTTGCTGCAAGGCTCAGAGGAAGGAACCCTTGTCCGAGGCTGCAGTGTTCTTGTGACAGACGCCGGGTTGCTCGCGCATGAGTTATGTCTCTTGCACATGTCGCCCCGAAGCTTGAACTGCGACCCTAAGCCTTAGGACACCTCGGCAGCAACTTTGAAAAGGAGTGATCCGCGTCCCGGGAGCCATGCCTATTATTTGCCGAGTTTGTGGGGCTGCAGGCGAACACTTGACGGTGCATTGTCCTGACCGTCAGGATCCTCGGCCTTGCGACCGCCAAGATCCTGGGGAAGGAAAGGGGGGCATCTCCAAGGGGCGCGGCAAGAGGGGAGGAGCCACTGCACGTGGACGCGGCACAGGGCCCAGTCAGGAAGTATACAAGGAGATCGTAGCGGAGGCACTGGCCTCAGACGAAAAACCATGGATTCGACACAAGTGCTCAGACGGCGAGGCTGCGACACGGAGATTCATGCGCATCAGGCCATCAGCTGTTGACTGGACAAAGTTTGGATGGCTCTTTGCCAGGGGTAGCCAGGAAACGACCGTTCAGCAAAAGAAAAACGTTGGGCAACTACAAGCCGATTGGAAGGAGCTCTCATCGCGACATGATCTATCAAAGACAGACCTTGCGGATGGCCTCAAGCAGCTCGCGCTTCGCCACGGCGTTCATGTGGGAAAGTGGCTCTTCTTTTTGAAGCCAGCTGATATGGATCGCGTCTGGCCGGCACTCGTATGGGCGCTCAGTAATGCGGCCCTGGGAGAAGGTGACTGCATGAAAGTGGGGGGCGGGAAAGAGTACGTGTGCTGCGTCTACGTGAGGAATTGCTTCGATGCTGAGCAGGCCGAAAGTCTCCGACGTAGCCTGCAGGACTTGCTCGGGGGCCTCGTGGCAAGAGTGGAGCTTGTCCTGAAGCCAGATGCTTATTCTTATTGCGGGATCTACAGAGGGAACCCTTGGAAGCTATCCACATCCGTGGCTTCCTGCATGGTGCAAGCCACCACAGCGGAGAGTGTGCAAGCAGCCCCAGTTCCACGAGACGCTTCTCACCACGACCGATGTCAACTTGCTCCACTTCAGCAGGCTGTGGAGGAAGAGTGTGTCGAAGTACTTCTTCCAATCCTCCAGGCGGCTGACTCCCGAAAGGCCTTGCTTGACTCGCTGCATGCCATCGCTTTGCATCCCAGCGCTGGGGATCTCCCCTTGGTGAGAATGTGTGCCATGCTGAAGGAGGCCAAGAGCCTTCATCACCTCGGGCGCAGGATTATGATGATGATGCAGGGCCTTGTAGAGAAGGACGCAGCTTTCATCTTGGGTTATCGGAGCGTTGTGTTCTGCTATTCCGAGTTCAAGCGCATGCACATGGCCAACTTTGGTCTTTTGGCGGATCTCTGTGTGCACGGGCTGATTACAGGAACGCGTTTGCTTGATGAGATGGAGCAATGGCTCCTTACCGATAGTGTCAGGCTGCCTCCGCCTTCGACTTGGGCTTTTGTGCTGCAGAGCCTTGGCAACATGGCGCAACGGCTGGCTGATTCACACCCGAGGGTCAGCCGATCCCTCGACTCATTCGTGCAGGATTGCAAGGTTAGCCCACATTCGCGGCTCAGCATTCTCAGCCTCAACGTGTCTTCTGACGAGAAGCAGCGAGAACTTCGCACGGCCGTACTCCTGTCAGCTCTCCAACAACTTCGCGAACAACTTGGTCCCGTTGTTTGCTGCTTTCAGGAGGTGAGGCTTGTTCTGAGTTAGGGTCCTGCGTACCTCTTGGGGCCTTTCGTGTCATCACATGTTTGGAAAGCTCGTCAAATCTGCAATTTTGATTTCGCACAGCCCCCAGGTGACCCGCAAGGTGGCCATGGACGTCCAGCGTGCGCTTCCCACCTGGGAATCCTCAGACCCTGGAGATGGATCGTCGATAAAAGGCCATGGCCTTCTGATGCTCGGCCTCTGCTAGCAGAATTCCTTGAGAAAGCTTCAGGATGCTTCAGGTATTATATCGGAAGATTTGGGTCATGTCGGTGCTTCTTCGAACCCAGGGTCATGGCTCCGCCAGAGTTAGATGCTCGCTTTTCCGACCACCGTCTGCAGTCCAAAGATTGCAAGCTGGTTGTGGCGGAATTCCCAGGCCTTGCTGTTGGCAATGTGCACTTATCGGGCAGCCCGGAGCTTCGAGAGAGGCAGCTCGCAGATTGCGCTCAGGTGGGGGCTTTTCCACAAAGGTAGTTCTCTGAATTAGGGTACCTTTTAGGGTCCGTATTGTAAGGGTTCCGTATTATTTGGAATTTTTTTTACAAGGGAACCAAAACTAGAGAACTACCCACATCATGGTGTTGAGGCCAAGAGGATAAGCCTAGTCTGACATATTCCTGCTGCGCATGTGCTGAGGGCCTTTATGGACGAACGATAGTCATAGTAATTCAGGCTCCTATGCTAATGGAATATGCGCCCCTGGGCAGTGAGTACTCTCGCCGGTTTATAGCAGCAAGGTGATGCAGCAATGGTCTGACATGCTCTTGGTGGGTGATTTCAGCATGAATGAAGATGTTCTACACCGGTGCGTATTGCAAAACCAGCTGCCAGACTTCACAGACCTTTGGCCTGTGTTGCGAGATGAGTCTGGCATCACAGTGCGCTGTCAGAGCAACGGCAAGGGGCAGAAAAGGACGGACCGGGCCCTTGCCAAGCTACCACGGTGGAAGCCGGTGGATATGCAGCTGATGTTTGATCAGCCGCTTGTGCCGGGACCTTTTTTGCTCGACGTTCTCCCGTCGATGTACAGCAATGTCGTGCATCTCAAGCCTGAGGCGGACACCAATGCCACCTTCGTAAGTGACCACCTGGGCTTGTTGACAACCATTGAACAAAACCCAGATGTGTCGAGATCACAAGGTAGTTAGCACGCAGCAAGCCACCTAGCGACAGGTTTTTCCATGTATCCGCTGCCACTCCGCTCAAAGCGAGTGTGTGATCAATGCAAAGGCCTTCGCACACCATCGATGCTAGGAGAAAGAGCACAATTCACAGCTCCTAAACTCTGGACCCTATCCGCAGCTATACATCAGTGTAACAGTGGCTGGTGTTGTGGGTTGAGTCTCGTGTCTCTGTTCCGAGGCGATGCCGAGTCTGGATGCAATTCTTCAGGAGATTTCGGGGTTAGGGTTCGATGGAGGGCAGGCGCGAGTGGAGGTAGGTCAGTCTCGGTTGATTATGAAGCAATGTCTTCGGCAGGCAGAGGAACTGATGCTCATTTCACTTGCAAACGGGTTTAGGGTTTGGGGTTTAGGGCTGCTGGACAACCAGGGCTGTTGCAAAACAGGGTTTAGGGTTGTGTGGTTTCAACCAGAAGGGCAGGTGCATGGAGTAAGGGGGTCTTACCGAAGCATCGCCAGAGCAGTGTGTGCAGTTGTGCTAAGAGGCTTTGTCCTGTGTTGCCTATCGGGGCCTAAATAATTACCAATACTATTTTGGGGGTTCATTATTATAGTTAGTAGGGAATAGGGCCCCAAAGCCCTATTCTAATTACTAGGGCCCCTGCGTTATCTGTCACACCCACTTCCCCTTCTCATTGAGGGGCCCATAGGCCGGTCACTTGAACTCCAAAGCCGAAGCCCCGAAACCGCAAGGCCGCGGCAACTTGAAACAGTAAACCCGCAGCCCTAAATCCTAAGCCGGATGCAGGCCGACATGATGCTCAAGAAGGGGGCGGCCGAAGTGGATGCGGGTCACGTGAAGGCAGCTTAGCTCGAGCCGAATGAGGGCGCCGGGGGTGGAAGATGGTGGAAGGCTTCAGTTCTAGTACAAGAAATGCATAAAGAAACCTACTCTAACTATTAGGGCCCCCTTTTTGAGGAGGGTTTGCGCTTGGATCCGTTCCTCGGAATTTCGGGCTTTGGCGTCTTGATGCACTGGGGTTGAGAGCTTGAGGTTGTGGTGTTTGGGGCCTGGGGTTCAGGTCGGGTTGGGTGCACGTAACGTATGTGCCACCCTCCCACCAAGCCTAAACGGCCCTAAACCCAAAACCCTGAACCCTGCGATGGAAAAGGGTCCGGTGCAAACAAACCCAGAACCCTAAGCCCCAAAAGCCGTATCCCTGAACGCTAAGCCCCCCCCGGGTTTCGTCGCCGAGCGAGGAGGGCACATGTTCTGAGTGAGACCCTCAAGTTCGACGGTGATTGACCCAAGAATAGGCTCCGAAAGAATTGAACCGATGCCGTGGCCTTAAACTGCCTTAAACTTAGGGGTACTATAAGGGTTCCTTTAAAGGGATCTATACGGGTTCCTTTAGAGCTTAGGCCAGCTTAGGGTTTAGGGCCTAGGGCCTCAGCTCGCAGCAGCTGGGTTTCAACAGCAGTCCCGAGCCGGACATTTTTCCAATTCCGACTGCCCGAGGCCGTAAGCCCTGAAGGCTTTGAACACCTAAATGAAAGCCTCTCTAGATCTCCCTGTGGTACAGTTGATGGTATAAATTCCGCGCTGCTCGTAATAAGGAATGTACCATACTTCCCATAGTTTAGGGTCCTTAAGGTCATCAGTAGGTGTGAAGGCATGCAGCTTGCCAGGCCAAGCAAGAAGCCATGATGATGCGAACGGAGACCACTACCTACAGGAACTGTTTGCAGAATATGGCACCCGGGTAGCAAAAAGAACCTTCGGTTCGAGTCAAAATTGTGGAGCTCAACAAAGACGCCGTAGAGGCTGCCTAACTCCTGACCTCCCAATCCTAAACCCTCAGTATTCTAAACCCTCTACGCCCCCCAAAGCTTAAAACCGAAGTCCGAATTTCCGAATCCCATGAATTTGGGCGTCCAGACCGCCAAAAGATCTATTTGACCTGTTGTTTTTGCAGTTGAGGGCTCCCAAGGGAGGTCCAAAAAGAGGGTACAGGGGTTAGGGTTGAGGGTTTAAAGGTTTGAGCGTGAGGGTCGAAGTTTTGGGTTTGGGGATTAGGGTTAGGGTTCAGGTTTTCAGGGTTGTGCTGTAGGTGCACTATAAGGTGCAGGGTTAGGGTTTAGGGTTTGCAGAGGCCTCAACGATTCAAGACCTTCCTGCTTCGAGAGACACTGAAATCCCGAACCCTGATCCACAGTTCCCGGTGCCCCAATAAGGCACACAATGCAGAAGACTCCCCACATAACTGCATGCTGCAGCCCAGACGTAAAGGCGGAGCTCAGAATACACGTTAGCACTAACCCCCGCCCCCCAAACCCTGAATATTGAATCGCAAATGACGGCGAGCCTCCGGAGGGACAAGAGTCTAAACTCTCAGCCCCAATTCGGCCTTGAGCCCCTCGTCCCAGGACCCCAAAACCTTAAAGCTCGTGATTCAAGAAGCAAAGCTTCAACCCTAAATAATCCTAAGCCTGCTTTGCGAGTGTGTGTGAGTCGAAATACTCCTAAGCCAAACCTGGAGCTGTACCAAACCTTCATCAACAAGCCGTTCCCAAAGCCGATCACTTCCCGCCATCCCCTGTTCCTAGAGTCGGAAGCCGCAGAAGTTCCAATGTAGGGGCCTAAATAATTACCTATATTATTTTGGGAGTTCCTTATTATAATTATAGTATAATGGGCCCCAAAACCCCTATTCTAATTATTCAAGGCCCCTACATTAGGTTTTGTCGAGCACCTTCGACATGGTCATGGCCTCTCCGATCGCACTGGGGGATTTTCTTCAAAGGAGGGAGCCCTAAACCCCAAAAGCTCTCTTTGAGCCTAGGGTTAAGATCCGAAAATGCAGGGGTTAGGAGATTTCTTCAAAGGAGGGAACCCTAAACCCAAAAATCTCTCTTTGGGAGCCTAGGGTTAAGATCCGAAAATGCAGGGGTTAGGAGATGTCTTCAAAGGAGGGAGCCCAAAACCCCAAACCCTCATTTTGGGAGCTTAGGGTTAAAGACCCGAAAATGCAGGGGTTGAGAGTTAAGGGTTTCGAAAGGCTTCAGTTTCAGGGCGTATGCCTAAGCCCTAACCCTAAAACCCCTAAGCTCTATAAACCTTAGGATTTTAGAGGGGGTTAAGGGTCTAGTCTACTGTTTTCGGGTTTCTCAGGATGCAAGGCGTCAGGAGGGAGTCGGATCAGGGCGAAGGTTGTTCGGTGTACCAGCCCTTAAACCCTAAACTAAACCCCACCCCAAACCCTAAACCCCTAAGCCCCTAAACCCGAGAAAAGACCCTAACTAAGGATTGTTCAAATTCTTACGGGTTTGGGGGGCTTTAAAGGGGCTCTATGGGCCAGGCCCTGAAGCCTGCGCCCTGAGCCTTGAGAGATCTTCGGAGCTCTTGGAGCAGGGTCTGTGACATTGAACAGCTTGAACCATTGCCACTAGTACTCCTTAGGCTTCAATAGTATACTGAGAGTTCCCCAAAAGCGCATATACCCCCACAACCCCTGTTCTGATTCTCGAGACCCTAAAACCCTAAACCCTAAGCCCACAACCCTAGTCTGATTCTTAAACCCTAAACCCTAAACCCAAGGCCACCCAGAAAAAAAGCGGGCATCCCTCTGGAAAAACATCCGGAAGCTGCCAAGTCAGCCGAGGCAGCAGCCATCCTTACGAACACCGTCTTCATTGGTGTGGAGGTGGGGTTAGGCTTTAGGGGTTTGGGGTTTAGGGGGTTAAGGGTTCACTTCTACCGCAAACAGCAACACAATACTCCGCAGGCGCGGTGACAATTAGGCGTTTCGACTTGCACGGGGGGGCCTCAGGGTAAGACCAACCGTAGTATCCTGAAGCCCCTAGCCGGTAGACCCTGCGTCGCTAAACGCCCACCGGTACACCTACCAGCCTGAAAGCCTAATTCATTTACCCGAGCCATCTCTCTGGAGGTACAGTGGTCCATCTCCAACCCCGGCATGCAGCATCTCGCGTTTCAGGCACCTGAGCGAGTAGGTCGAGGATTTGGCATTCGCACTATGGGGTTTCGTCCGTTCGGTGTTGGAGGAGAGGGTTTGGAGTGTAGGGATTGGAACTTGGAGTTGGTTTAGGGTTGGATGTCCTCAGTTGTGTGTTATCTGAGTTCAGGAACTGTGGGTTAGGCTGAAGGATGCGTTCTACCTTTGCAAAGTTAGGCTAAGAGTGGCGTCCCCTTTTGGCTTTTGGAGACACCAAAGGGAAGCAAACGCGGAAAAGCATCCAATCTGACACCCCCGAGGGCCGAGCCTGAAGGTAGCGCGAACCCCAAACAAAAGCGCTGTCTTCGCGATCCTTGTCTCAGCAGAACAAGAGACAAAACCTGGAACTCCAAATGCCCAACCTCGGCCTTGAACTTGTGATGGCATGCAGAGACAGCGAGAGAGAGAGAGAGAGAGAGAGAAAGAGAGAGAGAGAGAGAGAGAGAGAGGGAGAGAGAGAGAGAGACGAAAACCCCCTGAAAGCCCTACGAAACAGTGGGGGGCCCATGTGGCCAGGGGGCCTGACCCGCCCCTTACGCCCGAAGGAAGAAGGAAGAAGAAGATAGATAGAGGGTAGGCAATGGAATGTAGGTTTTCGAGAGAGACCGGCCACACACCCAAACCCTAAGCCCGAACACTTGACCCCCAAATCATATCCTTTCAACCCCAGCTCCGAAACACAACCTCCATAAACTGTAAAGCGACAACCGTAGCCAAAGATCTGAAAGAATATCCCAGCTTCAACATTGTTGAGCAGTCGTCCTCATGATCTTACGTGTGACCCAGGTGATTCGGGATGTGTACACCCTCATATTTACAGCACCTTGGATGTCTGGATGGCATATTTATACAACATTATCCAAGGGCTTGACGCTAGAAGGTATAGGGTTTGCCGTTGATATTTGAAGCTTGAGACTTTATCAGCTTTCGGGATGCGGGAGTTCAAGTTACTGCTGAAGTTTGGGCTTTGAGGTGCCTGAGCCTTGGATGTGCAAAGCGCATGAGTTTGGAGCATTCAGACGCGAGGGCTGAAGCTTCGGCCTGAGGCGGGCATAAGGGCATTTGCAGTGCAGCCCCTCCTCAAAAAAGCGAGTATAGCCCAGAGTCCACATCAAGGGCTGATTGCATAGAGAGCTCAATTTCGAGTCTGTTTCGGGCCAGTCCTGGGTTTACAACTGTAGCCTTGAAAAGCATAATCTATTGCAGTATGTTGTGTTCATCATTCGTATACGGTTCTCTAAGTGCCGTGAGAATAGATACCCCAAAGCCCTTTATGAAGGCAAAGCCCCCAATAATATCACTCATAATCATCATCATCATCACCATCAGAGTCAGAATGATTATGATAGCTACAAGGCAGAACGAATATACATATGAATATTCATACTGATACGGTTATGAATAATATTTATAATGTTCATAATATTGAAACTCTTAAATTACAGGTGGAGCTCTTCCTTCGCCTGGCCGCCACTGGCTGCGACTTCTTCTGCTCAAGTGACTGGCGGTGGAATCTGCTGGACCTGGTCATCGTGTGCCTTGTTGTAGGACCTCAAGGGTTTAGGGTTTAGTAGGGTTTAGGGTTTTTCTGTAGGATTTGCCACCGTATTGAGTGTATTGCGGCTCGACCCGAAATCCTGAACCCAAAACCCTAAATCCTACACACACACACATCGAGAGGTGTGGCAAGTGTCAATGCCCTAACCCCGAACTCTGAACCCAAAGCCTTGAATCCTAAAACATCAACCTTAAACCCTTTAAAAATAAACATAAGCCAGCACTCTCACCTTGAACCCCGGAGTAGAACCCACACCCCCCAGCTGTAGGTGTAGGGTGTTGTAGGACCTTGAGGCTTTGGGGTTTAGGGTTTATAGGGTTTAGGTGCTCCACACACTCAAATGGAATAGGCCTTAATGCATCGCAAGGATCCCTCTATTGCCAGGCTTGTTCCTCAATTGACGGTGTTGTTAGAGTCTTCCGAGGTTGGCTACAGAACCTCCCAAGAACTCCTAGCAGCAGCAGCTTTTCACCAGCAAGTGCACTTGATCTTCCGAAGCTGCGAACCCCAAAGCCCCCCTAAACCCGACACCCTAAACCCCAAATCCCAAAACCCACCCAAAAAACCCGAAACCTTAAGCCCCAAATCCCAAAACCTCTCTGCATCAACCCCACCACCCCCCATGGCGGCAAGGCCCCTGAACCCTCCACCCTGTCGAGGCTCCTCTGAAGGGTATGCCCTTGTCCTCAAAGAGCTTGAAATTTCTTGTTGGGTTCAGGGTTTAAGAAGGATTTCTTATCGGGGTTTAGGGTTTAAGGTTTAGGGTTCAGGGGTTTAGGGTTTAGGGTTTGTTTCTTATTTTTTTTGTCCGGGCGTCCTTGGAAGTCCGGGTGCGAGCGCCGAAACTTGAAACCCCAAACCCTAAACCCAAAAACCTAAGCCCTAAACCCAAAGCCCTAAACCCAAAACCCCAAACCCAAAAACCCTAAACCCAAAACTCTCAGCCCAGAACCCTAAACCCTACACCCTACACCCTCATTTTGCAGTTTAGGGAGCCTCCCGCAGTGCCAAGGCTCAGCACTTGGTGGGTAACTCGGCTTCGGAGAGGTCTTGAAGTTGCCGCTCCTTAGACAGAGCTTTTAATATTTGGCAATTTGGGAAACTTTAGAAAATTTCCCTTATGGTTTTTTGTACAGGTACCTATTCACAAATGCTTTTCAGGGCCCCAAAACTACAACCCAGTTTTCTAAGGGTTCTAGAAGGGTAGCAGAAAGGGTTGCTGCAGTGGGCTTTGGGCGGGTTTTGGGGTTTTTGGCTTCAGGGTTGAAGTAGGCTTCGTGGTTAAGGCTTTAACTTTAGGGGTTTGAGGTTTAAGGTGAAGGGGGTGTTTGGGTTTACGGCTTAGGAGTTAGGGTAAGTGGTCCTGGATCACATGTTTGGCAGATTTGTTGTTATGCATCGCCCCGGTCTTGAGCCCCTATTTTTGTACCATTCGCCGCTGCCAGTGTGAAAATTCGTGTAGTGTTCTGATTCTTGTTGCAGTAGGTTTGTGCTTTGCAGCGGTTCGCCCCCAGTAGGAGGCAAGGTAGACTTCCAGGAAGGGCGGTGCTTTCATTGGTCGAGCTTTCACAGAGAACCATAGCCGATTGCGAAAGATACCCGGGAAGTGCATTTTTTCATCATCTCCTTGAGAAGCATTTGGTTTCTCTTGTGCTGTCTAGGGTTCTTGTAGGAGTTCGGTCATCATCGAACAGCATCGGTGCTTTATGATTTCTCGAGGTTGGTTTCCACAAGGAGCATTCAGGCTTTTTTCCAATTGTTCTTGTTGTCTTCGTAAGTCCCGAGCCCTACAGGAGACCTTCATCGAGCTGAGCATCTATATGCAGGGGCCCAGCGCAGGAGGCCGGCAGAGGAGGTTTGGGGGCCGTCGGGGCTACCCCAGGAGCCCCAAAGCCCCGAAATTTTTAGAGCCCTTATCACCTCAGCCCTGAACCCAAAGCCGCAAACTGAAAGCCAGAAGCCCAAGCAACCCGAACACCCCAAACCCTGGAGCACAGGAAACTCTTCTAGTATCCTATTTTCAGGACCCTGAACAGAAGACCCTTTGAAGAACCCTCTGAAAAGCCAAAGCCCCGAGCCCGGAACCCTAAATGCTACACCTCACACCGAGCTCCACAGGAGGCCTCGACCCAGTGACCGGGATGACAGGACTTCGTCCCCCGGAGCGCATTGCAGTTGGGTTTCGGGCTTTGAATAGATCCCCAAGGCTCCCTGTAATCGGTTTAAGGCTTAGAGTAAACATTTTCGGGTGTTACAAAGGTCTGCTGTGGGCTATGACTTGCTTGCGAATGGAGGTTTGCATCAAAGCCCTCAATGTTCAGGGGCCTTGGCCCCTCCATCCCTACATTCCTAAACACTTCAAGTCTGCAGAAACCCAGGAAAGGACCCTAAACCCTAAACTCGTAGACCCTAAACTCCTAAACCCGAAGCCCTAAGCCCTAATCTCCCTAAACCCTAGGGCGCACCTCATCTGCCAGAGTCCGACTGTGAGAGCCTAAACTCCTAAACCCCAAAACAGCAAACCCTGAACTCAAAACTCCTAAACCTAAACCCTTAACCCTAAACCCTAAGGCCTTGGTAGTCTTCGGGTTTGCAGCCTGGGGCTCAGGGTTGACGTAGGGTTCCAGCTGGGTCGCCTGGATTTCGGGATGAAGTTGGACACCTTTGCTATACCACACGCTACTATACCGTACTATACTATGCTATACTGTACTATGCGACGGCTATACTATATCACACTGTTATGGCTATACTATACTATGGCTATACCATACTACTCTGAAGCCCTCGTCTTTGAACCTCGATGCCCCAATAAACCTCAAAGCTCTGAAACCAAAAAAGACCCTAGGTAGCCCTGGAAGCAGCACAGCCCAAGGTACCCTGCGCATCGTCCGCATCACCCGGCTAGTGAAGATCGCCCGCATCGCCCGCGGCCCAGAAACTGGCGTGTTCTAAGATGTTCTAAGTTATATGGGTAGTTCTCTAAATTACGGCCCCTTGAGGGTCCTTTGAATAAGGGTGCCGCGCTATATTGTGGATCTAAACAGGGACCCTGATTTAGAGAACTACCCGTGTTCTATGTTACCATATTTTTGTCTTGTCTTGTCATCTTGTCTGATTCAGTATCGGCTTCAAATCCTGACGCCTTGAATTCTTAAGCCCCCCAATACTCTACACTGTAATATAACATGCTAGAATGTACTACAAGACACTGACATACGCTAGACTCAAATCCGAAATCTTTTGGCCCCATAGAACCCTAAACGGGCACAATACAGCATGCTTCTCGGAGCTCGAAGCCTTCAACGCCCCTCAACCCCTAAACCCTAAACCCCCAGACCCTGAACCAAAAACATAAAGCCTTGATTGCTTCATGGGTACCGCTCTAACCTTTTTCTACAGCTTCACGGCCGCTGAGACCCGGGTGCTGCGCGTCATCATGGCCCTGCGGACGCTGACGCAGTCCATCATCTACACCCTGCCGTCCGACTGAAGGTTTGCTTTGCTTATAGGCCCCGAGGTTAGAGGGTTTAGAAGTATACGATGTGCAATATGCCCCCAAACCTTGTTCTGCTTCTAAAGTTATTCATGCGAGCCCCATTTTTAAGCAACAATCCCGAAGCCCAGAGACACAGGGGGTTGAGGTTGCGGGCCCAGATCGAGATACCTGTAGCAGCTTTGGTGTGTTCTTGTTGCTGAAGTCTTGCAGGGGCGTGAATGGAAGCTTTCTTGGGTCTAGGGTGCCTCATCTTACATATCTTTGAGACTCCCAGTGGTTTGCTTTCAAGTTCATGGCCCGAATCGCCGAAATGAGGAAGTCGCTGATCTGGGCGCCCCGGCTGCACAAGCTACAACGGTGATATGCAGCTTGGGCGGGCCTTGTGTCCGGATGCCAAACCCAAAACCCCGAACTCATCCTAGCGATGGGCAATCCACCCATCAACCCCTGCATTGGCTGCTAAAGAGATTCAAGAACAGAAAGTGCCAGTCATGGTCACTACTAAACTTGGGCCGTATGTATCATTGCTCTGTAAGAGTACCCTAAACCCTAAACCCTAAAACAGTAGCATGTGAAGGCAATGGCGCAGACCGTCATTGCTGTCGTTCCAATTTACGACTCGACCAGAGTGTGATCTTGCCATTGCCAAGCAAACGCAAGACCAACAAGATTTCAAGCCCCAAACCCGAAATCAAAGCCCTAAGCCCTGGATCCCAAAAGATTCTGCCAAGCGTGAGCATCAAAGTGGCTCAAGGCGATGAT